TCTCTTAAAGGTTAGTTGGATGTGTAGCTTCTTACCTTTGTTATAAAGATCTATATTTTTAACTTTGTTATTGAATATTTTTTTAACTTGGTAAGACATTGATGCTAGATCTCGACTTCGTTGCTCTGGGAGGTAACTTTGTTTTTCGAGGTTGAGATCAAAATTTTATGACATCTCTGGGGTCATTCCCGATCAAGGATCAATGTCCCTTCCTTTTCCTCAGGTGAAAACCTGGTTCGAGGTTAATATGATAAAGGCTTACCGTGGTATGGACTTACCATAATATGTGGAATGGCTAGCTACTAGAGGATGGGCCTGTTTATCACCATTTTATGGATTGTTACCTTTATGGGATTTCAATTGCTTTGGTCGCACGCTTTTAGGCATTTGAGACAGCACCCCGGAGCTCTTCGATCCTTGATTTTAATTGATTTAATCAGACGCACTAAACATTTTTTACAACACTCTAGAGCTTTTTGCTCCGCTCCCCGATTCTTATTTTCTTCCTTCGTGATCACATCTAGAAATATTTTTAGCATAAATAATACATTTATTCGTTCGTTGAAAGAAAACAATCATATTACACTAGTATTTAATATATAAAGTTACGAAGAAAAAAAATTAATCAAGTGAATCTACCATTGGTTATTGTGTCTGGTTTAGATAAGTGCGATCGACTACAAAAGTCTTCTAGAGTTATTTCACACAAGGTTCAAATTAGTCTTATGATCAACTTGCCTATAAAAAAATTTGCTCCTTTTCTTGGGAGGTTGGAGGACCATCTTTCCCCACTTCCCTATGAGGGAAGCTACATTGACTTCCATTGCCTTTCTTTTTCCTTTATCGCTCTGATCACATTGCAAGGCTTTGTGTAATTTTTTTGCTCTGGATAAGTCGGTGCATATCCTCATTGCAAAAGGTATTCTCAAGATACAATTGTAAATGCTTAACAAATCAAAGTTCTGACAATGACTCTTTGGAATTTGAAGATGATTAAGAATTTGAAATAAATTTTGGATAAGGTGCAAAACCTTGGGAAATAATGGTCTATAAAAAAGAGAATTTCTTATGGCACCGCTTGGACTTCTTAGGCACCATGCGCGTTGACAAAAATGCCCCCTGCTTCCGAAGATGCATCTTCGGGCAAACTTTTTTTCAGCATTTTTTAATTAATTTCGTAGATGCATCTATGGAATATTTTCGTATGTGTATATACGGAAGAAACCCAAAATCAGTAAACTAGAAAATCAACATTGCACGAAAAAATCAACATTTATAAAATAAAATCGGCGTTACATTGATGATTTCGACAGAAATTTAAATAATATATTTCAATAGTCCGATGGACGCTTGCACATCTCTAAGATGTCATCTACCGTTCTTCGAACCATCGTCTCCAACTCGAGCGAAATTTTCTCCGAAACCGAAATACATTCCCCACATCGCCCTAACATCGTCTTGATTCTTGAGCTCAAACTTGCTGTAAAGAAAGTTCCCTTTGTTTTCAACTAAAGATGAACGATACTCAAGCTTCACAACCTTTCGTTTGTCATTGTAAGGTATCCGATATTGGATATTATCTATGATATCAGCGAGGGGGGTGAGATCAATGAGCGTGAACATCCTCCCGGGTGTTTTGTCGTCGGAAAAGGAGACACTTGTGACATAGCAGCGGATCTTGATTTGAAACAATTGAGACATTTTTGTATTTGTATGAATGATAACAAATGAAACCCCAAATTTATAGAAAACCTAGGTGAATATGGACCAACCATATTTTGTCAATCTTTTTCTGGAGCTATATCCACAGAATGAACCCTTAATTATTGTTTTCGGTGGTGTATCTATGGAACTTTCCATGATACTACAAAATTAAGAACCTTTCGTAGATCCATATTTGAAACTTTCCCTGCTACATTTTAAAACCATAACTCAATATAGAAGCACATCATAATAGACAAATAAAACGCATAAGTGCGTGAATAAGGCATAAGAATAAGAAGTGACTATTTTACACTTCAAAATTTTTACAATTAGTCGTCTGATTATACCAGAATTCAAAACGAATCAAAATAAGTGTCACCGGCTAAATCTATAGGTGGTACCCCTTTGGGCTTTTATGCATTCAATTCCTTTTCAATGTTGTTTAATCTTTCGAATTCATGCATCCTTTCAACAAAATAATCCGGCAATATCTCGGCATTTGCGGTTGAATGAGTCATCCATTCCGGTGAAGTAGGAGATATGGGGCAACTTGGTTTCAATAAAACTTGTACAAAATGTCTTGATTTTGTAAGCCATTTAATACACCTGATGCGATCTCAACAGTTGTTGCATCTCACTTCTATCTCCCCTAATTGCCTTGTTGGTGCGGTACCGAATGTTATACACTTGCCTTATATTTGATATATTGTCGGTTCTCTTTCGTTTCAATGTGACAAGTATATTTTTCGGTTGGACAAGATTCAAGGTCATGTCACTAATACATGTCTTCTCTTCCAGCTTGAGCCGACATACACTAGGACGACCTTGTAACTTTAAGCACAATTCATGGTTATTCAAACCACAAATAGCACTAAATTTCCATTTTTTGGTACTTAACATGTAACCACGAATCTTAAAAGGACATTTATATTTTCTACTATTGGTGTCATCTCTTTTAAACTTTCGTAGAGGAGTCTGATATTTCCCGCTTCTTTCGCACAACAAAGTTACAAAGGTGTTTATTCTTTCCGAACCATTATCCGATCTTCCTATAACCACACCAAAACCAAGTCCAGTTGCATTCCTACGAATCCGTGTGAGCATGTTATCATGATCATCAAACCCTTGCTTGTTATTAAAGTCAACACGGACATCCACCGACTTTACGACAACCCCTTGAACATTCGGAGAAACATCGTTTTTGGAAACTAATTCTTTCGAGATATTATCGGGGTGCACCATATATATTTGTAAACAATAAAAATAAAAATAAAAATTACAAATCTGCTGTAAAAAAAATAGAACAGACACGTTTTGAAGATATACATTTGAAAGTGTTCATCTTCAACACGTTTCAGAGGTACAACTCCGGAAGCAACGTTACTTTTTTTTCTCCAAAACTTTAATAATTAGTGTGAGCAATATAGTGGACAAAGTGCAAATCTTTACCTGAAATTCTATCTTCTCTTGCTCCCTTTGATTTGTTGCACATAAAAGTTGGAGTTTTGGAGTGAAAATGATATTGAGAATGTAGGGTTTTTTAGGTTGGTGAAGGTAAGTGTGGAAAAAGAAAAGATAACAATGGGAGAGTGATCATGCAGATTTAAAATATAGCAGTAACTTCCGGATCTTTATCTACGGAACATTTTGGCGCTTAGACGTTTCGGAAGTGCATCTCCGGAAGTTTCCCTAAACTGATTTATTTTCAAGTTTTTTCCAACGTATACCAGTAGAAAATTATTTCATAGTTGTAGCTCCGGAAACATTCAAATTTTGGCAAAAAAAAATTGAACTAGAAGTGTATCTCCAAAAATAAAAACATAAAATAAAATTCACTAAGTACTTAAGAGTATCAAATAGTGGATTAAGAAACTTTCATTAAAAAAAAAGAAACAATGATAATCTAATAGAAGACTCGATTCCTCAATATTAACATGAATTTGAATTGATGGAAAATCAACCTACTAAAGTACAGAAAGATAAAAGGTAAACTTAACTTCCACCTTTCATACTATATCCGGATCTCAATTGTCTTGCATATCTATAATATATATAAAGGCAAAACATATTTTGGTGTAGCCTATTTTTCTACCAATTTTACCCTTATTTTACACAATAACTTCTATTGAAACTACTACTACCACCTTTCACATGATTTTCACTATTAACTTCCTATCCAACTTTCTATTATTAACTTCCTACATAACTTCTTTTAAAAATTAATACTATATAAAAAATATCATTTATGTTTTTAGGTGTGTGCATTAAAAAAGCGGGCGAATGCCCGTCTGGACGCTAGTAAATTCTAAACAAAATGTACATGAAGCTATATTTGTTCTGAATTGGAAGAAACTTGTGTTTGAAGAGATGAAAACACTTAAGTTGAAAGTCGTGTCATGATTTTCCCATCTAAAAAGAGACCACATGTTTTAAGTGGGTGTTAATAGTAAAATTAAACTTAGATGGCTTAGAGCATGATTATCGGTGCTTAAATGACATTGCTACACGGTTTCCAAAGTAACGATGTCAGAAGAAGATGGATAATTTATTCTCCAATGCGTTTTTTAATTAAACAACGTATTCAAACTAAACAATGTTCTACAAGTGTCATGCTGGACAATAATAATAAATGTAGTATTGATGATAAAATTAATATTAATGATAAAACCACTATAATAAATGTAACGGTAGTATTTTCTTGATAGAATAATTCAACGGTAATATTTCAATTGCAAGCCAATATTAAATTGTAACGGCTATAAATTAATGACTATATTAATGACTAAAAATTAATGACTAAAAAATAAATTAATGACAAAATTAAATTAATGACTAAAAATTAAATTAATGACTAAAAATTAAATTAATGACTAAAAATTAAAGTGAACAATATTTTAATTTATTAATAAACTAACGGCAATATTTTTCATTCTTATAAATAGGTTATTAATTTTACTACAATTTTCATTTACAACTAGTCTAACTTTGAACTATTGATTTTATCTCATCTTAAATTTTTTTCTTCTACACATTTATTTGTCAATGGATCCCAATCAACATAACCCTCTAATTTTATGCAAAATGGTGGTAGTCCTCCTTCTATTCCAAATCAACAAAGTAATCCATATTTTAGAAATACACCTTTTATCTCAAATCCACACCATAATCCAAATTTTCAAAACTCACCTTTTATCCTAAATCCACAAAATAATCCACACATTGGAAATTACTCATATCATCCACCACCTTATCCATATCAATATCAACAATTTACATCTTAATCAACTAACCCCACTATGCCTCATGGGGCTCAAATAGGTAGTAGTGGTGCGCAATCAAATAATCAAGAAGATGAAACACCACAATTTTGCACTCAAGGTAGCTTAGAAACAGTTAACCTTGGTGAAGAAGTTGCATCCGTACGTGTTGTGAATACGCATAAACAAAGGTTCCAACAAAAAGAGGATGAAATTCTCATTCAATCATGGCTCAACGTTTCAAAAGATTCAATTGTTGGGGTTGATAAAAAAAAGAGATAGTTTTTGGAAGCAGATCGGTGAAGCTTACAACAAGCATCGTGACATTAACTACAAAGAGAGGAAACCGATGCAACTAAAATGTCGATGGCATAAAATCAATCCATCTGTTCAAAAGTTTGTTGGATGCTACAAACAAGCTGTGTCTACACAACAAAGTGGGAGTTCCGAGAGTAATAAAATGCAAGCTGCATATAAAATCCATTTCCAAGATGAAGGTGAAAAGTTTACTTTTGAAGTTGCATGGAGATTATTGAAAGATGAACCTAACTGGCTCGCAGGTTCATCAAAAGCTTCTACAAAAAGAACAAAGAATTCAGCTTCAGGAGCATATTCTTCATCTTCTAATCCACAAATGAGCAGCAAACACGATCCATCATCACCTACTTTGTCTCGCCGTCCAATCGGTCAAAAGGCAGCCAAAAGGAAGGAGAAAGAAAAGCTTATAGAAATGTCTTCTACTCCCAATGTCAAATATGATTCTTTGAAAGATGACTTTAAAAAAAATTTGATCTGGTGTCAATGTTTGCATGGGACTATGCACACATTGAGGGTGAAAAAGTTGAGATAGAGAGAAAAAAGGTTGATGCAAAGATTAAGAAGGCTGAGAGTGCTGGGGAGAGATTGAAGATGAATGATCTGCAAATACTCTCAAAAGATACATCAAATATGGATACAAGACAACTACAAGTTCATGATATGTTGTGCGACATGATTAGAGAAAAATATGGACTTAATTAGTATGATTATGTATTGTGGGCTTAATTAGTAAGATTATGTATTTTGGGCTTAATTAGTAAGATTATGTATTTTGGAATTAATTAATATGGACTTAACTAGTATGATTACGTATTCAAAATCAAATTAGCCGTTATTCAAAGTCAAACTAGCCGTTATTCAAAGTCCAACTAGCCGTTATTCAAACTAGTCGTTATTCAAAGTAGTCTTATAAATAGTATTAACATCTTGTATTTTTTTACAATTTATTATCATCTTCTACTAAATATCAAACTTCTTTTCACATGGATCCTTCAAATCCTTCCCACATTGCAAAAATGTTTATGGATTATATGAATGATGACATGGATGAAGAACTTGTGAGGTTGTTTATGGAAGAAGAAGCCTCGAGCTCTAGAAGGCCTAGGCGTCAAAGAAGGAATATAGAGAGGAATCGTGAAGAGGGACATGAACGATTATTCAAAGATTATTTTTCAGAAACTCCGGTATACACAAATGAGAAGTTTCGTAGAAGGTACCGAATGCATAAACATGTGTTCATTCGCATTGTTGAAGCTCTAGGTCAACATGATCAGTATTTTCGAATGATGGTTGATGCAACAGGTAGGGCAAGTTTTTCACCATTACAAAAATGCACTGCTGTTATCCGTATGTTGGCATATGGAACATCTGCTGATAGTATGGATGACTATTTGAGAATTGGTGAAACCACGACACTAAAATGTGTTGATAAGTTTACACGAGGAGTGATCAACATCTTTGGTGCACAATATTTGCGAAGGCCAAACGCCGAAGACATTGAACGCTTAATGCAGATGGGAGAGACACGGGGATTTCCAGGTATGTTAGGGAGCATCGACTGCATGCATTGGGAATGGAAAAATTGTCCTGTTGCATTGAAAGGACAATATGTTCGAGCCGATCATGGGAAACCAACTGTTATGCTTGAAGCAGTGGCTTCACAAGACTTATGGATTTGACATGCATTCTTTGGGGTAGCGGGTTCAAACAACGATATTAATGTGTTGAACCAATCCAATGTCTTCAACGATGTTCTGCAAGGACGAGCTCCCGAGGTTCATTATACAATTAATCGTACTGAATACAACAAGGACTATTATCTATCAGATGGTATTTATCCTGAATGGGCCACGTTTGTAAAAAGTATCCCGATGCCACAAGGGGATAAGAGAAAATGGTTTGCCCAACATCAAGAAGGGGCAAGAAAGGATATTGAACGAGCATTTGGAGTTCTTCAATCCCGATTTACGATCATACGTAATCTAGCACGATCTTGGCACTTAGACACACTCTAGCGCATAATGAATACATGCATCATATTACACAACATGATTGTTGAAGATGAATGTGCAACATATGGTGGAAATTTTTGATTTTTCTTATGATCATTTGAGTAATGATGCGACAATATTGTTGAATGATTCTAATATTGATTTTCAAGAGTTCATGCGTAGGAGATTTGATATTCGTGATAAATAAGTTCATCGACACCTTCAACAAGACTTGATAGAACATATATGGCAACATTATGGACATGAGAATAACAACAATTGAAAGATATTTTAAATATATATTTTTATTGTATTTTGTGCTAGTAACTTATTTTAATAATGTATTTTTTAATCTATTTTTTAATTAATTATTTGTGTGATGTATTGTGTTTTTTAATATATATATATATATATATATATATATATATATATATATATATATATATATATATATAATTTTATTTTAAATATATAATTTTTTAATGTATTTTGATATATTTGAATTAAATTGTTTCAATTATTTATTTATATAATTAAAATATTGGATATATTGTGAGATTTGGTGAAATTCATTTTAGAGTTTTTGATGAGTTGTATAGATATTTGAAAAATGTAATTGAGTTGTTTAAAAAATATTGAAGTGAAATATAATATAAAAAAATAAGTAGATCCCATCTAAAGAACCAAAATGAGGATAATAAATGTGAATGCTCTTACTAAAAAGAGATAACAAAAAGTTGATTATTAAAAGATTTATCCAAAACACATGACATAGACTACTCAAATACCTTTGCATGTTGCAGAGTTGATCATTGTCAAGATTCTTATATCTCTTGCTGCTATTTCGGATTAATCTATAATTTAATTATATCTTAAAACTTTCATTTTCGATGGTGATATGTAAAAAATAAGTGCACATGGATGTTTCTCCCTAATGTGTTCGAATTATGAAAATAATTTTTTTATGACTTCAAAAAATCTCGAAAAACTTAGTTCAAAAATGTTACTTAGTCTGTAAAGAAATAAGGATACACTCTAGAGCAATTATATGACACATTATTTATAGGTGAAATCATAGTGAGAAAATTAAAGTAACATCCTAATCATTTAGGCCAATGAAATAGTTCTTATATGAGATAATATGACATAAATAGAGAAATTTAAAGGAAACATAACAATAGAATTTGAATTAAAGGCTTGGAATCTCTAAAGAACTTCATTGATATTGAAGTATCTAAATTTAAGAAAAGGAAACTGGTTTCCTTAAGAGAAATATGTATATGCGGAGGTAGAGGCGTTGATATTCCTATGAATCCAAATTTAAAACATTGAGAAAAATGAGACACACATTGTCAACACGGTAAAATACTATTAATTGTAAAAGTGATTTATTTGACACATACTTAATCATATATTATCTTCTATGTTAATGTTGTCAAACAATTTGTGTATGTTCCAAATGAAGAACACCTTAGATCCATCTATAAAATTTTGAGATATTTAAAGGCAACATCGAAAAGGTCTATTATTTGAAAAAGTCAGTGGCTATATTTTTTGATGCATATTGAGCATAATTTGTTACACATAGAAAATCTATTTCAAATTGTTGCACTTATGTGTGGGAAAATTTGGTAACGTAGAAGTTGAGTTTATTGCTCCATCAATAAATGAGCTAAAAATGATAGTGAAACTTTCCTGAAATCATATAATGACAACACGGTTGTAATAAATATAACTCATAATTGAGTTTAACACCGAACAAAGATCTGTAAAATTGATTAATTATTTTATAAAAAAGAAATATATTTCAAAGTAATGTGTCTACCTTTTGCGCCTTCAAATCATTAAATTTTTTAACTAAAATTTAACAATTTTTTTGTTAAGTATTTGATTAACAAATTAAACATGATTGATATTTATGCACTATCTTGTAGAAGGATGTTAAAAGAATTACTCATTATTATATTTTCTTAAATCACTCATTAATTTGTACAATGATTGTATGTATTATTTATGATGTGTTTGTTTTAAGTTAAGAAAATCATTTCTTGAAGTCATATACCTACGATTACCATTTTCAGAAATAATATTCATGTCAACGTGTTTGGACAAAAATTAAATTTTTTTAGAATAATTATAAAATTTATTTAATTTAAAAATTATAAAAAAAATGAAAATAAAATGAAATGTGAGTAGTAGTGTGTACTTACTAAAAAAAATTATTTGTGTGTGTTTATTTATTGGTGTTTGGTTTCTTTACCCATGATGACAGAATATTTAGATTCGTATTGGTCTTTGATTTACGACCTCCTTGAAAATAACAACCACTCAGAAAATATACATTTTATCTCCTCATATTCAGAGGAACGTGATCCACCTCTCTCACAACTTCTTCTCTGCTGTTATATGATGAGGACATATCTCTCACTGATTCTCACATCAAGAGACTTATGTAAGGCGAGATATCTGATAAAAGGGAAACACATATAGTAAATAGGTGCTTTATTTGATGAATGGAAATTGGGAACCTCAGCATCGCGTCTTAAGACCTTTACATAAATATACTAAAACACAGTCCCTCAAACATTAGAGTTTAGGAAAGGGCATAATGATTTAGCAAAGGCATAATCTTAACCATATATGCTCTCAGAGAACACTGAAAGGAATGGAGCTTTCAAAGGGTTTTCCACTTATATAAACGTTGTTTTGTCCCTCGTGGGCGATGTGTACGGGTTCTTTTGTGAGTTGTATGTATTGGGAGTGCGTCATTTGCCTCTCGGGCTTTCAACATTGGTTTCTTTACCCTTAATGTAATATTCTGTTTACGTTACTGCTTCAGCAAAGGACACCGCTGACCTCTAGACCATGGATTCATTGAAGTGTCCCACCCTGAGTCCATTCTTGAATGCTTCGGCGAACATTTTCTGATTTTGATGGATTATCTTGATTGTTTCCTTGTTGAAGAGGACATGATACTCCCTCAAAAATAATGAGGGACCTTGGCAAATGTTGAATAGACTAGTGGCAATCAAGTTCATACGCCTGCTTGCGAAAAATTGGTGGACAAGCTTCTTCACCGGGTCTTGGTTGATGGTGACAGAGAGCCGGGGGAGGCCTATATAACACCTTAGAGTTGCGTCTCTAAAGGAGCTAGACATGAGCTTGCACTTCAGGGAGTCAGGTGCCCCAATGATGGACATCTAAGTGTTGATGAAGGTAACATGTTCATATGTGTCGCTGTGCCCGTCAAACTTAGTCAACGATGGCAGATTGAAGTTCTCTAACACGGGCGTTCCCCATATCTAATTCGATAGAGGTTGGTGATCTAATAACTTTAATTCGTCCATCATGTATGTCTCCTGTTGGCGCTGATGAATGTGGATGACATTATCATCAAGTGTTTGGTTATGGTGACAAAGGTCGTCCGTAACAGTGCGCATATATGTTATGGCAATTTCGTCGTCGTCAGATTCCTCGTTGGTCAGAGTTGTTGTCTTTTTGTTTACTATGAAGAACAAAGACGGTGAACGTGAGAATAATAATTTGGATGAATATTGTAATGATGACCCAAGTCAATTTTATCGGGGTCTCATGGTGGACGCCAATTGTACTTGCTAAAAATACAAATGCGTGACAAACCCTAATGATTAAGAATTGTCAAATGCTTTAAGATTTGTTGTGAAGTTGAAATCTAACTCACACATGGGTGAGAAACTCTATTTGCATGTATTTCTATATTGGAGTTCGCTTCCCTTACCCATGATGATGATATATTTATAGATGTATTGGACCTAGATACACGACCTCCTTAAAAATAGCAACCATTTAAGCAATGAGCAATTTATCTTTTGATATTCAGAGAAACGTTATCCACCTTTCTCACGACTTCTTCTACACCGTTACAGCATGAGAACATGTCACTCAACAATTTTCACGACGACATATCTTAGAAAAAGGTAGAAAATCCAATAAAAGACAACACATCTAATCTAATAAACGGCATGAGAAAAACCTCTTATTTAACACCTATAACACACTTTATTAATTTGTTACAAAAATATGTTTTATTCAGTTGAAAATATAAATAATTTAATTTATTATCAAAATTGTGATTAGCCCGTGATATTGTGTCCTAGAAAATGTGGGTATAACAAAAATATTTTCATAAAAAAATGACTTAAAAAATTAACACTACTAAGTCCTAATAAATTTTGATGAGGAAATATAACGACCCTAGACTCTAATAATAACTTGTAATAGCTGGAAAGTGCATTGTTGGAAAAGACTAGAGAGATGGAGAAGGCGGTGAGAGCATACGCAGAGGTTCTGAGACTAGTAAGGCGTTTACCAAAGGATTCAAGGGGTTATTATGCCAAATACGCACGCGAGAACTTCGTCAATTACCGTGAGGTCGATCCTTCTGATTCCACAACTCTTCATGATCTCTTTCAACGTACCTACACTCATTCCATATGGGTCCTCCATAAGGTCCGTTCTTCACTTCCCTTTTTTTTTCTTTATTTCTCAATCTCAATCCATTTTCTTATACAATAATACAATGGATTCAACTGCAGTATTCGGTTGATGAATCTGCCGCCGATAAGCTCAAAGGGATATGTCGCGGTTAGTGCTGTGCCGCCCAACTGTTTGTTGTTTTTCCCCACCCAACGCTTTTCTGATAATTTGCAGTTATGCTTGTTCAAGAGTTATAAAATTCTATTTATTTATGATCATATGTCTAACTGCTATAAACATGACCATGCATGTCTAAACAAATCAAAGTAAGAGTAACTATATTTATCATTAATTCATGGTGTTTCTAAACGGTGCTTATATATATATATATATATATATATATATATATATATATATATATATATATATATATATATATATAATTGTACGATTAAAGTTTATCTTGTGGTGTTTCTAAACCGTGTTTAACCTCTATAACTCAACATCAATTCCCCATTGAGCTAACCTGTGTTGTGGTGGTAACATTATGAGTTTGCATTGCTTAAAAAAAAAGTGTGGTGACTTAAAAAAAGAAAATTCATCGAATTATAAATGACTTTCCTTAATTTGGGACCGAAAGAGTATTACATAAGAGGAATGTTAGCAACATCCTTTTTTTAACACTGATCCTGGTATTTTATGTGGGATCTATTTTCAAATGAGAGACATACATGTGTTTTATCCAGTAAAAAGGTGAGAGTTAAAAAGAGAGTCTTTCTATTACTTTTCTATTAAATGAATATAATTTATCAATGATATGTTTTTGGATAAAATATATTTTTATATTTTTCATTTGAAATAACAAGACATTAAATTTTAATTTTTAAAAATTATATATTTAAGGAATTGTATCAACTTTCTCTGTTTGAAAACAAAATTGACTTGATTAAGAAGGAATTATATCAACCTTCTCTTCCTTGAAAATTTGCTCAGTCAATCATACCGAGCTCGGAGAACTTGTTTCAGATCGAAGAGAGTATTTTTAAGTTTTAAAAATATGATTAGAAAAGAAGAGTTTAGAAAATTGAGATGTTGATTAATATACATTTCTTCTTGGATGTAATCGTTTAAGAACATGCTATTTGCAACCCCGCGGAAGACTTTTGAAATTCAAAATGCATATGGACTCTAACCTAGCTACATTTGGCATATGTCTTATCGAAATCTATGCTTTTGTTGTTTGTACTCTTTAGCAATAAATCTTGTTTTATTTTTAAAAATATTTTAGTCAAGCTTGTTACGAAAGACCCATTTGATTTCAATCACTACATTAGATGGACGTTTGAGAATAAGTAAAAAAAAAATTTTAAAAATATATTTAACTTATCTTAGATTGCAAGAGACAAATGTTCATCAATGAGATCTTCATCAATGTTATTTCGTTCAATTTGGAAAACAAACAAAAAAAACATAAAGTTACATACCTCGCTAAGGGAGTGGGAAATTGCGACTCCTAAATGTCCCTAACAACATTTTGGATAGGATGGTTTTAATAGTCAAAATCTTTATGATTTATGCTTGACGATTTTCTATTTTACCCTGATTTTTTTTTAATCTTTCTTTACTTTAATTTTGACATTTTTCTTTAACTTGATCTTTTAGATGGGTGTTCTTTAGAATCCCTGTACAACAAAGAATCAAAAGTAATATGTATGAATTCTATAATTATGGTCTTTTTGAAAAAAGTTTTCTTAGACGAAGAAAAAACATATTTTATTTCACTGTTTTTGAAGACCATGCATATAGAATAACTAGATGATATTATATTGCCCTTGTCAATAAACTCACTTAATATTAAGTAAATTGTGTTAACAAACTTAAAAAAAAAACAAGATTAAGGTATTTACCGATAGATACAAACAATTTTATATTTGTTGTTATTCTACAAAGACATTTTTCATCTCGTATTAGTTAAATAAGATAACACTTTTATTTTTCTAGTCATATAATTTGAACAATTACTATTAATATGATATTTTAATTTCGAACCGTCAAATATATCTACACCATAAATTGACTTTTCGACTTTTGGCACCAAATTCTTTTTGGGTCCTATTGCGTTTGTGGAATACACGTTATCTATAGAACTATCTGCAGACATATTTCTCATTTTCGTTTCAAGATTTTCTTTATAAAGTGAGAAGGAAATAAACATTTTTACTATCATGACTCTTCTTGACTAAGCAAAATCGAGCGGCATGACCATTTTTAGTTACACTTAAGAGATCTTGTTTTCAAGACATATATTTCTAAACAATTTAATATTACTTTTAGGTTCATAACCTATGTGAACCTTATTATTTTCCAAGAAGGATATTCAAGGTATTTATTCCTTTAGTGAATTTTTCAAGTGTATTTGCAAAGACTTGTTTTCACTTTTTAAAATCTCACATTGTTCACATTTGATAGATTAATCTAATATTTTGTGAGAAGGAGAAAAGACTTGAGTTAAATTCTTTTTTTATTTCTTTAAATTTTTCTATTTCTTCCCAGATGTTTTTAATTTTAAATTTAATGGGAAAATAGATTCTTTAGACATGTGGACAAGTTGTTTTAACTTACTTATTTCTTTATTTAATTCTTACAAATTCAAAATAAGTCGTGATAAAAGAAATAAGAAGTTACATCATTTTCTTCATGATATGTCATGAGACAAATGTTGGCTTCTTCTTCATCTGAGGATTTCATGTCATTGTCATTCAAAGATATGTAGGCCTTCTTTACTTATCTTGTAGGTTTCTTGAATTTTCTTTGGTTCCTTATTTGGTTACAGTTTTGAGAGAAATTTGTATTTATGTGCTCTTTCTTTTTGTATTGATGGTATGTTGGAATGAATGAGGATATTTCTTCACTTTGCTTCTGAAACTTTGAAGTTTGTTTTTCATGTCTTAGAAATTCCTTGAATTTTCTGAACAAGATCTTCATATTTTTATTACTTTCTCTTTGGCAGTCTTCCTCACTTGACAACATATTTTAATATTTGTAACTTTTATAACAAAATTTTTCTTCATCATCATCATCTTCTTCTTCCTCTTCTTCTTATCACATTCTTCATCATCTACATATCTTTTTAGTTTTGTATCATCTTTTTACAATTTATCAAAAAGGATAGTCAAGTTCATGGATGATAAATTCAGAGATTCATAAATCATAATGACTTTGGATTGTCAAATGCAGTTTAAGCATCTAAGGACTTTTCTAACCAAGTCCTTATTTTGAAAACTTTTCTAAGGTTCCCATTTGATTAGAGATATGGATAAAGTGTTTTTGAATATTGTACATATTTTCTTAAAGGTTTCATTATGAATAGTTCATATTCACGAGTCAATGTATTCATCATCGCCCTCTTTACCTTGGTTGTATCTGCATGGGTAATTTGGAGGGTGTCTCACATTTCTTTAGCAGTATCACAATGAGAAACACATAAAATTCATCAAGACCAAGAATAATAGTGATGATAGTTTTAGCTTTCAGATTGCATTGCACTTGTTCTCTTTCCTCTTTTGTAAATTATATTCCTTTTTATTTACCATAACATCATTAACTTTATGTTTGAAAACAAATGGACCATTTTCACAGTCTTCCACATTTCAAAATCTATCCTTTCTATGAAAACTCTTATATCTCTTTCCAAAAAAATATACCCATATTCATTAAAGGATAAAGTTTATTAAGTGAATCATTTGAAGTCATTTATTTCCTCCTGGAACATTTAAACTTGAATGAGAGTTAGACTCTGATGTCATTTGTTAAACAAGTGACTCCAAACACAAGAGGAAGGTAAATGGTGAAGTGCAAAAATCACGATTAGTTTAAAAAATATTTTATTTTGAAAAGTAATTTATGATAGTGCAGAGATAAAGCAACGACTAATAGAAAGAAAGATTTAAATAAGAAAAAAAGTTAAACCAAAAAATTAAAGAGATGAGGATAGAGAGATTGTACCAGGACTTATAAAGGTCCACCCCTGCACTTAACCTACTTCTCTCCCAAATAATTTCTTATTGAAATTTCCACTAAAATAATGTTTTGGGTTTTTAAGGATAACACCCACGAACCTTATTACAACTAATGAGAGATTCTATACAGTTTATCCCCCGAACTAAACAATGTTTTTGACGACTAAGCTTACGAACCAAATAAAGATTTTATCGGTTAATCTCAAGAACCAAACAGAGATTTTACCACGACAATATCAATAATCAAACAAATATTTTTCTATGAAAATATCAGGAACCCAAGATACCAAACAAGAGAATCACACTCTTGATGAATAAGACTTAAGCACAAACATTAATACAACCAAACTGACACAAGTATTTTTCACTTACAAGACACTAAGACAACTTTAGTGAAAGAATATAAAAAAGAAAGGATAATAGTAGAAAATAAGAAAAGGATAGTAGAAACTCAAATTCTTGTGTGATTCGAAACATGCAGAAACATCCTTTATATAGGAAATGATTTGGCTCAAAAAAGAAATGATCTACTAGGAAAATTAAATGTCATAATCGATTATACCATAGGTTTACTAAATTATGAGCTTCAAAATACGAAAAACCTAATTCGCGAAAAGGAAAATTTATGAAGTTATTTTCCTTGATCTAATTGATTATAACAAGTCCTTAATCAATTAGGCAATGTAAAAACTTTTCTAATTGATTAGGAATACTTCTTAATCAATCAAACACAAGCCTTAATAGGTTTTCAAGATATATTTAGATGTTTTTAGCAAAAGAGAGAGGTTTAAAACTATTTTCAAGTGTGTGTGTGTATGCATGCGCGCGCGTGTGCGTGAGTTGCCTTAGTATTTATGAGTTACTCTTAAACCTTTGCAATACACTGATCACTCAGAACATAATACCATGAAAATGTTTACACTTCCTCTCTTTCACAATTTTGAAGCTTCAAGGTCCTTTGCTTGATTCATCATTAATTCAATATTTCATGTGAGATTTGACATCTTCTATCTGATGAGGATTAATATGAGTTATTTGATACACGCCGTCATCATAGATTTTCTTAATAGAGATCATCTTGGATTCCACTAAACACTGCTTGATAATGTTGTTGTTCTTAGAGAGATTGCCTTAGACAATTTGATCTCTCAAGCAAAACAACTTGATCATCTTGATTATAGCTTCAGATGAAGACTTCACATCATACTGTTGTTATCATCAAAACCATTGAGATCATTTAACTACTACAGACACTCTAACTGCAAACACATAGATCTATAATTTTGAATTTCAAGTCCACTATGGTGGTGCCTTGGCAAATAAGGAATTGATGGAACAATTGAATTGTCATAACGTCTTCTATAAACTTCATAGTTTCTCACATCTATACAAAAGGTAAAAATTATGTTGATAAATCAGTCAACATATGGCTTGTTGTTGGGGAGTCAGGGAGCACTGAAAGTGTTAATTGGCTAAATATTTAAGATCCAAGAGACCGTGACATCATATATTCACCCATAACCTTGAGGCAATTGACCAATATTTCCTTCAAGTGTGAGTCACACACATCACTAGCCTTGATCCATACTAAGATTTCACTTCTGCTCCCCCATTGAGGCTAACCATAACTCTGTTGAAGAGTCTGGGAAGCACAAAAAGGGTTAATGGACCAAACGTTTAGAATGGTTTTGGTGGAAAGGGAAGAATCTTTTTATTTGAGGTTGTGAATGGTTGATTGACATTTGACATGCAAATAGAGGTTTGCTTGAGATTTATTTGTGATGTTTGTTAATTACTTATTTATTCAATTGATAATGTAAATAAAATTTAGGAGAATGACACTTACGTAAGATCATGCAATAACATTTTGAAGGATTGATATAGTAGGTTTGTTTGAAGAGAAAAAAAATATTCATTGACAATATAAAATATTTTTATATTGACAAATAATCACAAATGTGTATCTCACTAAATCACACGTTTAATTTTAAAATACTAATATGATATAATAAAATATTATAAACTGGACATAGTCCCTTATCTTTAATCTTTTGTTTGAAATATGAGTAATTTAATATATAATTTGAAAGGGTGATTAGTGGGGTATTTAATTTGAAAAAGTTGTTATTTGGGGAAAAATTCAAAAAGCAGCGATCTCATTCTCTCATCTTTGGTGCCGACAGTTGCCTCCATTCTCAGATAATCAGAATGAGTTTGAATTCATTTCGCTCCTCCTTAGCCCCTAATTCCAAACGAGTATCTTCCAATCGATCCAATGATAACACTTACAACACCAACAGGAAGAAGCAGAAGACCACCGCAACAACCACCAACCAGAAAACCTTAGGCGTCGCCTGGGGATCCAATTCCCGAAAACCTCCTTCCTCCGATTTCGGAAGGTCAATTTCTCATTCCATCTCAATTTCTAAATATTTCACTCTTCCGTCTTATTTTTTAAAATCTTTAATTGAAATTGTCTTACAGTTATATGACAGAGAAGAATCGGAAACTACACAATCAGTTTAACGCCGATGCTTCCACGTCTCTGTTTAGTGACTCTGCGTCTGGAAAGCCTATATTCGCCGGAGTTTCAATTTTTGTTGATGGTTTCACCGTTCCTTCCAGCCAGGTTAATCCTATTTCCATTTTCATTTTTCATCACTCTATTTATCCTCTCGGCGATGGCTGTATTTTCAACAAAAGGATGACAATTAACATTAATAGCAATCGTGTTTTAGGAACTGCGAAGCTACATGATAAATTATGGTGGAAGATTTGAGAATTATTTCTCAAGGCATCGTGTAACACATATCATCTGCAGCAATCTTCCTGACAGTAAAATTAAGAACCTCAGGTTTCAGTTGCTTTCCTTTTAATAAAAATAATGTTTGAGTCCTCCTACTCTTAGTACTGCTTAAATTTAATTGTTGTGTGTTCCACTGCAGATCTTTCAGTGCAGGGCTTCCAGTGGTAAAACCTACTTGGATTTTAGATTCTGTTGCATCTAATAAACTCTTGACATGTAAGTTATTGCATTTCATGCACATTTGTCTTTTGTCTTTTTTGGGAAAACCTCTCTTTGTATTTGGAGAGGAAGGGAAGGGTGATGAAAGCATATGGAAAGAGACTATTTGAATTCTTTTGTAATCCATGTCAATATATCCAAATGTTACTCTCGGATCCTGCCTTTTTATGATTTTTATTATTTACTTCATTGATTTTTGGGGGATAAGATCAAATTTTATTTGTCTTTCCTAGTCATTGTCACAAGAGATAAAATTTTTGCTTTGTTAGGGATGCCGTATCAACTTGAACAGCTTTCTTCAAATAAACAACCAAAACTGTCCACATTCTTCTCATCCAGAAGTAGCAAAAATTCAGAGGATACTTTTACTAACACCCTTTGTCAAGTAGAGCCAGACATTGAAGATTCACTTGCTAGTGTTGGCAAATCAGAGGATATAAATTCACCAAAAGTTGGGGACATGGTTGAATCTAGCAGGGAAATCAGTATTGAAGCTGATGATAATGTTCTGGAGAATACCGATGCAATCGTGATGGAAGAGCAGCTGGCTAGTGTTGGAGTTAAATGTGATGACGAAATTCCAGCAGGAGGAAGCAATGGTGCCGCTAATGATGAGAAAAACCTCCAAGGTGAACTTGAACCTAATTGTCAAGAACCTTCTACATCAGCTAGAAGCCTCTGCGCAGATGACCAGAATGTAAAAGAAGTTCCAACTTCTGCCTCCACCAGGCCTTCTAAACAGTGTCATTCAACTCTTTCAGATCCTAATTTTGTGGAAAATTATTTCAAGGTAGTGAAGTTGGTACAAGTTTGAGTTTTCATACTGCTTGTCAAAATGGCGTCATTCTTGTTGGTTGTCTTCATTTCCTTTTGATATGGCTGCTCTATTTGCATCTCAATCCTCTTAAAGTATTCTGCAAAGATAAGGTGGATGGAGTCATTATTAGTTTAAACACACCTGGTGCATTTGGTTTTGTTTGCCATCCCACATCAGTAAAGAAGAAAACAAAGATTTAAAATAGAAAACCTGGTTGGCTTAGGGAGGGGGATGGAGAATATTAACACTGTTTTAAGGATGCAAACATATCAATGATATACTGTTATGATATTGACTTGCTCCTTGTTTTACTTTGACATGATTTTCATCTTGACCGAATCATAAAATGGCTGCAAATTGTTAATCTCCATTTATGATGCCATAATTGTGTAATATCTTAGTTGAATTTTGATATATGCAGAACTCACGGCTGCACTTCATTGGAACATGGAGAAATCGGTATCGAAAGCGCTTTCCTATCCCGTCTTCTGGGTTCAACAATGAAATTTCTAATATCAATGCCTCTAGTATTTCTGGGAATTCAGTTGTTATTCATGTTGACATGGTAGGCTTTACGTACATGGATTTTGCATACAACTAATTCTTGTCAACTGATTTTCTTCATTCAGTGCTTACCAGATTTGACTTTTAAGAACGAATATTAAGTTTATGTGTGTTGTGTCATGCATGTGTCCTTCCCTAGGATTGCTTTTTTGTCGCCGTGGTTATCAGGAACCGTCCTGAATTGTTGGACAAGCCTGTAGCAGTCTGCCACTCGGATAATTCTAAGGGAACTTCTGAGATTTCCTCTGCAAACTATCCAGCTCGTAGTTATGGTTGGTTATATGCCAAGTTATAAAATGATAATATGACTCAATCAATAAGCTACATTATTTGATTATCTTTTTTGCTATGTAACATATGCCTTTTGTCATTGTTAGGTATTAAGGCTGGTATGTTTGTTCGAGATGCCAAGGCTCTCTGTCCCAACCTTGTTATCTTTCCATACAACTTTGAAGCTTATGGGGAGGTAAATTACATGAGGGTGTATGTAATTGGTTACTTACAAAGAAGAATAAAGAGGAGTACAATTTCATATCTTTTTGTAACATTTTCACCCCTTATAAATGATTTTTACAAAGACATCTTTGACAAATATGCAGGTAGCTGATCAATTTTATAGTATATTGCATCGAAATTGCAACAAAGTGCAGGTATTTTATGATTGGATATTTAAAAGTTCATAAATCCTCAGTTTGTGTATCCTTAGTACTGTAACTGCTACGTTTATACAGGCTGTAAGCTGTGATGAAGCATATTTAGATGTCACCCATTCAAAGGTTGAAGGTCCTGAGCTTTTAGCATCATCAATTAGGAAAGAGATCTATGAGACCACTGGATGTACAGCCAGTGTTGGCATAGCTGGAAACATGCTTATGGCCCGTATTGCTACTAGAACTGCTAAACCAAATGGTCAATATCATATAACTCTAGAAAAGGTATGTTTTGTAGTTTTCTGTCATTCATTACTAAATCTACAGGAGAGAGAAAATGTGTTATAGGATTTTGTTTTGGTAAGAGAATGTGAGACTGAATCTGTTATTGATTGATTCATCTTCTGAATACAACTTTATTTATATTTGCTGAAGCTTGTAATCACAGATCTATAACTAACGACTACAGTTAACTAGTCTGTTTCTAACTGATTGTCAGTTATGCCAGCTACGTGGACTGACTGGAAATTTATGGAACACCTCTATATGCTCAAAATTGCATACTTTATCATTCAGAAATTACGTCCTTTTTTGTAGTATTCAATTTGTCTTTTTAATGTGAGGGAGGTGTATACAACTGAAATTAACGTCTTATTTCCTTTCTTTGCACGTTTATTTATTTTAGGTGGCCTGAAGAGTGTTTGTTACATGAATTATTTGCTGAAAGCTTCTGATTATCTTTGGATATTTACAGATTTTTGTATAGGAAGAAGTGTTGGATGTAAAAAAAAAGGCTAGCCAAGATGAGAATGTTATGTTGGATATATATTAAAACTAAACGACATTAGAGAGCAAGTTGGGGTAGCACCTATTGTAGAAAAGATAGTGGAAAGTGGAAACTTGGCTTATGTGGTATGAACATGTGGATGAAAAACCTGTAGATTATGTAGTTGAGAGCATTGATCAGATGGAGGGTAGTCAAATCACAAGAGGCTGAGGTAGAAGGCCTAGAAAAATTATTAGAGAAACTACTAAGAAAGACCTAGAGATTAATGAGTTGAATAGAGATATGATATATTTCAAAACATTATGACGTCGATTGATCCATGTAGCCGATCCTACTTAATGGGATAAAGTTTGATTGTCATTGTTGCTGTATGTGTTAATGCTAATGGTTTCTATTTTAATTTTTGTATTTACCATTGTGGATTATTCCTTATTGTATGATTTTTTTATTAGAAATTCTTTGAGATAGTTTTATGCTAGATGTGGAAGATATAGTTATTTTCAGTCCTTTTGAATCTTTGCGTGTCCAAGAATTTTCTATTACTCCAGAGCATCGTGCTTTGAATTTGCCTCAAAAGTTATAATTCCGTGTTTTGACATTATTTACTGTGGAGTGTGGACATTGCACAAGACTTCTTATAGTTTATGGTGGTTTATGCTGCATGTTTTCTGTCCGATAGAATTTGATATAATAGTTGGTGTGGAATATGTCAATATTTTTGCCTTGCCCTCTTATATAGTTAACTTTTCCAGGTTGAAGATCATTTACGTCAACTCCCAATTAATGCACTTCCAGGAGTGGGTCATGTTTTACAGGAAAAATTGAAGAAGCAGAATGTTCAAACGTGCGGCCAATTGATGATGATTTCCAAGGTTTTACTATTCCTTCACTTATTTTTTTAATGATTTTTTAATGTTCTAATAGTTTAGTTTCTGTTCCTCGACTTCCTTTTGAAGGTCATTTTGTGACTTTGCAAATCTAGCATTGTACATTCATCACAGTCCAAATAAATTTGACATAAGTCTCCTTATAACGGCAAAATGTATAAAGTTCAAAAATAAAGTCAAACTGACCACAAAAATAAAGGATGCCTACCTTCCAATAAAATTAGGAGCTTACTCAATCAATCAAAACTTGTTGCAACGTGAAGACTGCCTAGTTTTGTAAAATAATTAAAATTAAAATGATTACCCTAAGTGTCGAAGAAGAATTTGTATATATTAAAATACAACAAGTCTGGTGGATTTTTGAGAGTATTAGAGTTGGAGTGAATAAATTAGTGTTGTGTGGTGGTTTTACTTATGCATTGACTTTCAAAAATAAAGTTATGTTGGTGGGTTTAGATTTCAAGTGTTAGGTTTGAGATATCTCGTAGAAAAAAAAATACTTTTTTTTAATATAGACTAAAAAATACTTGATCAATTTATATATCACATTATGCTTCACCGATATCATGACATCATAACACATCTTAAACCTAAACCACTCTTATTCATCTTTTTCTTTAACAACATCAAAAAAACTTCAAATAATTAATTGAAAAAACAAACTGACAAACATTAATAGGATTGTGAGAAGAAATTAAGAAAATATAACAGAGTAAAAAGAAAATATAAATGATAAACACAGGAAAGGCATGTGCCCACCATCCAACACGTTTTCATGTTTGGTTCCTTCAAAATGTTCTTCCATCGTTTGGAAGTTTTGTTTAAAAAAGATAAAATCCACACTCATCCATATGTTTATGTGTTTGTATTGTGCACAAATGGTTGTAGATGATGAATGTAATGAAATGGAACATATAAATTTAAGACATGAGAAGACAACAACACATTATAACTATCAATAGTTTTCTTAATTTTTTTTATAACAACAGATGGTAAAAACTATCAGACCATGATTTAAAACGACTTCCTAGTAAAACAATTAAAAGTGAGATTGGTGAAACATAATTGGAACCTTGGCGGTGACCACTGCCCTCCTTTTCTTCCCTTTTCATCCGCGTCTTCTCTTTCCATTTGCTTCAGAACCTTATTTTTCTCACTCATTACTTTTTTTTTGTTACTGTTGTATAAAAGGATAATCCTTTGATTGTGTTAGATATAGAAAATTATTGATTTAGAAACGGTGTAGCAGTTATGAATATGAGGAGACCCAATAATCCTTAACTGCAAAATGGTGGTTTAAATGAAAGAATTTGTCAAGGGTAAAACTGGAAGTATAATAGGCTAGACCAAAATGATGTATTCCCTTTATATATGTTATAAATTATAGATTTAAGATCATGCTTATGTCCAAATCGTTAATTTCGAGATGTTTTTAAATAACTTCTCAACAACCAAGCCTTATCCCACTAAGTGGGATCGGCTATATGAATTAACTTTTGCCATAATATTCTATTTAAGACCATGTTTCTATCTAAATCGTTAATCTCGAGATCATTTTTAATAACTTCTCTTATAATTTTTCTAGGTCTTTGTCTTTCTCTAGTTGTTTGACTTCTCTCCATCCGATCTACTCTATTTACCACATAATCTACAGATCTTCTTTTAACATGTCCAAATTACCTAAGTCTATTTTCCGCCATCTTTTCTACTATATGTATATTCCAACACTCTCCAATACTGTCATTTCTAATCTTATCCTATTTAATTTTACCACACATCTAACACATCATCCTTATCTCTTACATTTATTTTATTCTCATGTTGATTCTTAACCGCCCTACTTTCTTTCCCGTACAACATTGCAATTCTTACCGCAGTCTGATAGAATTTACCGTCGGCTTGAGTAGTACCTTTGTGTCACACAAAACCCCTGAAGCCTTCCTCCATTTCAACCACCCAACTTGAATTCGATAGTTTACATCCTATGAAGCACGGATTCCGACACGGACACTTCGATGCCAATAATATAAAAATGTAGGACACCGACACCGCTACATATATGATAATAGTATTAGAGTTTCATTTTTCCATCTATCATTTAAAGATTTTGTTAAGAGTCCCACATCGGACAATATATGACATGAACATGTGTTTATAAGTGGGGGCAATCCTCACTCTACCAACCGGTTTTGTAGGGTTGAGTTTGGCCTAACTATATTTCTCAACATGGTCCCACCATTTATTTTCACACTCCAGATGTCCAGTCCTGGGTGTGAGGGGGTGTGTTAAGAGTCCCACATCGGACATGGGGCAATCCTCACTCTACCAACCGGTTTTGTAGGGTTGAGTTAGGCCTTACCACATTTCTTAACAGATTTAAAAATATAAATCAAAATTATCGTCTTTAATTCTTCATTGATAACATTGTTTTAGTATGTGTTTAACCTTTTTTGATTTATGAGAGATTTGTTTAAAAAAATGTATAAGGTGTGTTGAAATAAAGAAAAAAACACTTTTTTTATAAAACACTTATTGTTAGACACGTGTTGTATGAGTGTCACGTAAGTGTCGGACACCGATTTAAAGAGAGTCAAATCGAAGAAAATAACTTTTTCTGGAGGACACTTGTCTGACTTTTCCGACACTTGTTTGACTTTTCCGACACGTGTCGTATGAGTGTTATACAAGTGTCAGACACCGATGCGTGTCGGCACCACGACACTCCTACTCCTAGAGGTGTTTGTGCTTCATAGTTTACATCCCCTTTTATTTCTCCATCCTTTTTTGTATTAAAGACCCATGTATGTTAGAAACAATTCTCCTTTTGTTGAACTTACATTTTATGTACTCCGTCTAACTTCTGCTTAAGTGAAAGTCGTGCGTTTCTAAAGCTTGTCTCCAAGTCTCCATCCTCATTTAAATCTTCCTTCAATTCTCCAAGTAGGACTATATCATCAGAAAAAAAGCTCTAAATTTACACCGAAAACATAAAAAAAAATTGAATCTAATATATGAAAAAACCTAATCTCAAATTTATGAACCGTCGGCAATGGGCACCCTCCTGAACTCCATGGAATCACCACAAGTTTAATTCACAAAAGAAAGAAAATAGCGGAGGCTATAAAATTTTTACCTCAACCTGAAAAGGATGCCTGAGACTGAGAAAATGAAGCAAATAAGGGAAAAGAAGTAGGCTGAAGCTGCACAAAAAAGGGTATTAACTGGTAAATATAATGCTTCTCATGTGTGGAGAAGCTTTAAAAGGATCCGACTCTCGTTTTTAGTGAAACGAGTGACTCATTTAAGGAACCTAATGCATCTTTTTATTTTCAATTAGCACAAATTCTAGTTCATTTTCTTCTTGGCATTAGTTGAAAAACATTTGGATAATTCTATTGTGTATCAGTCCCTGCTCTCTTTGCATCTGCAGGCCTCACTGCAGAAGGACTATGGAATGAAAACAGGAGAAATGCTGTGGAATTATAGCAGAGGAATTGATAACCGGTTGGTTGGAGATTTTCAGGTAGGGAAAAGGCCATCATTTTGGCTTGGTATTTTATCTTTAAAATCCAAACTCGGTTTCTTGTTATTTGGACTTGCAATATTCAAAATATTTTGGACACACACACTCGCACACACCTTAATCCACCTATTTTCTTCCATTGTACATTGTGCCAATTTGTTGTGTAAGTTACCCCTTTCCATTGATCTATTGCAGTCCTTGTTTATTCATTGACTAACAACTGTTAAAGTAAACTAGGATTAAAGGATATAAATTGTCAGGTTAATATGAGAAATCATAATATTCTTAGTCTGAAATCAAAATTGGTAATTGTATGCTCCACAGCATGATTTAAAATCATCGTGCCACTGGCTAGTATGTTGCTCTCAATCTTCCAACTCAATTGTGGTGTTTTATCCTTGTTTCCTCCTTTGAAGGTTAATTGTTCTTTCTTGATAAGCTTATGTTAAACGTCATCCCGTAAAGACAATGTCATGTACACATATGCAGGAATGTAAGTCTATTGGGACTGATGTAAATTGGGGTGTGAGGTTCCAAGATATGAAAGATGTCAGTACTCTTCTACACATCTTATTTTTATTTTTTCCTAGTATTAGAAAATTAAATCAACCAAAATTTGACTTTAAGTTTATACAGTGTGAAAACTTCCTCTCAAACCTTTGCAAGGAGGTTTCGTTAAGATTGCAATGTTCTGGCATGCAAGGGCGCACATTCTCTCTCAAGGTATTGATTTACGTTTAGCTTGATAGTTTTTTATTTTAAAATTATTAAGATATAACCTCTGTTTTGGCTCATGAGTTGCTCTTCATGTTCTTTTTCATTTCTTGAACTGTCATTCATTATTATCATAATATGTTTCTACTAAATTCTAAGTCAAAAAAATGAAATTTTTATATTTGTTTGGGCATATGTTTTAGATCAAAAAGAGAAGAAAAGATGCTGATGAACCTGTGAAGTTTATGGGCTGTGGAGACTGTGAAAATTTGAGTCACTCGGAAACGGTAAATATTGAAACATCCCGTATTTTTCACGTATGCATTAAACTAAAATATTGTCTTCCAAAAGTTTTTCTAATTATTTGAAGTACTATTTTGTGTTTGAATCACTGTAGATTCCTGTTGCCACTGATAATGTGGAAGTACTCCAAAGGATAGTGAAACGGCTTTTTGGATGTTTTTACATAGGTATCTTAACTTTTAATTTTTACTATTTCATTACTGAACAGTCTTGGTATATCCTTAGATTCCTGAATCATTTGCAGCATTTGCTTTCTTTAGCAAAAATGTTAAAGAAACAACTATTTCATTTGGTGGTATTAAAAATGTTCTTGGTAAATTTTGATAATAGGAAAGGCCAAAACTAAAGCTAAAGTGCGCCATGTTTAATATGGGCTCGTGTTTAATCTGACCATACTATAGAAGGATGATGGTTAGGAAAGTTGTACAATTTTTAAATTTTTATGCATTTATGATAAACATGGTTTGGATTGGCCTTGGGTTTATTCTTGTTTCATTAGACACTTAATGCAAGTGGTTTCATTCATTCAGGGTTGGGTATTGCTCATCTTATTCTATTCTAGTTAAATGCTTATGGAGCACTAGCTATTGTTGGTAATAGACTAACATTTCATAGTATTAGGTCATCATTATGAGCACTAGCTTTGAACTTTTTTAAAATTTAATGGTATTTTATTTGTCATTGTGTTGCAAAGACATAGATTAATAAATCAGACAGGATCCAAAGGTTCAATAGGAGAATGATGAACTAGTCAAGTGTTTGGTTTTTTTAATTGACGAACTAGTTCATAACAGGAAAAACGGTCAAAATCTTTTTCCTATTAACCAAAATAATTTTCAACTAAAGGTCCAATATGAAGTTGCAAAGACAGGTACACAGGATTCAGTTATCGTTTGATTTCTTAAACATTGATATATAGTGTTTCAGCAAAGTGCTTGTAGTGGGGGATCCATATATATCCAGTTAATTGGAAATCTAACCATCATCTTCTCCTTTTGGCGATTTCACGTAGATGTCAAGCAGATTCGAGGTATTGGTTTGCATGTTTCCAGACTTGAAAGTAGCGAGACATCTAAACAAGGTAGTTGTATTAATTTCAATGAAGTTTAACCCGGCTGCGCTGTAATAAGATACTTTTTACTGTGCATGCTACTAAGTTTATAGTGAGACATCTCTTACTTTCTTTCTTTATATAAATTTCAATACTTTTTGTGATTGTCTAATATTATTTATTTCACGAAGGTGCAGAAAAATATAATTTGAAATCATGGTTCACTTCAGGACCTGCAAGTATGGATAAACGGAAACATCCGACAGGTAATAGTTGTTTTTTCTTTTTGGGATTTTGTTAGTGATTAAATTAATAAAAATGAGTTCTGGTGGTTTCTTTTTCTTCAGGTCATGACAAGCAGAATGCGGATGGCCCTTCGGTTCATGAATGTGGAAATTTGCCAGGGTCTTCAGTTCCAATGGAAAATAACATACAAGATAACCAAGCTAGAGCTGACCCGATGTTAACAACACCTCCTTTGAGTGGCCTTGATATGGAAGTTATGAGAAATCTTCCCCCAGAATTATTTTCAGAATTCAATGAAGTTTATGGAGGGAAGTTAGCTGATTATATTACTAAAGGGAAAGGTATAAGTGAGAATTCTTGCGCTCTACGAAACTCTCTTTTGGAAAAAGAAGGTAAGCATTTCTCTATTTCATTAACCTAGCTACTTTGGACTGATGCTCAACTCAAATCTGCTCTCATGCTTTCAAATTTTTCTCCGGCAGCAATAAAAAAGAAAGAGGAGCTTTTGGATGTTGAGCCAATTCCTCAAAAAAAGCCATTATCTGAAATCGAGGTAATTGTGTTTTTATTAAATTTCAACTCCTATGTCCCTTCCCTCACCCAATTCATTTGACCTTGTAACCCGAAGTTACAGACTTAATTCATTTAAATAAAATAATTTAAGTCCAGTTTTCTCTTATTTGATATTATTTTATCGTGCTTCTTGTCTAAGAATATTTTGTTTAGCAACATTTATCATGGTTTACTGCCAGGCAATGCAACATGAGGCAGAAGGAGGTGAAGTTGTACCCGATTCAGTGTCTGAACCCTCTTTTAACGTCACTCACAAATCAAGTTTTGAAAAAGATGACTTATTGCCTGCTTCTTTAAGTCAAGTTGACGGCTCTGTGTTACAAGAATTGCCTGAGGATTTGAAAGCAGTCATTGTTCTGCAGCTTCCTGCACACAGGAAACAGGAGATTTGCTCCAATGTTGCTCTGGTCCCTCCCAGTGAAAACCATCAGGTGTCAATAGGTGTCAATGATTCTGAGAATCTTGGATCAAATCATGCTCTGAATGAATGTCTTTGGGATGGGAATCCTCCAAAATGGGTGGAGGAGTTCAAATTCAGCAGTTGCTTAATATTAAAGAAACTTGCTGAAATGTATTATAAATCTGGGTTGACTAGCACCTTCTCATCAGTTTTACGCCATATTATATCTGAATTCCACCAGCTAAATCCAGTCTATCAGATTTCCGATGACTCTGTTAACATCACGTGTGAGCTACTGAAGCAGTATATCAAAGTGAAGATAGGAAAAGATATTGAGGAGATTTATATTTGTATTCGGCTTCTGAAAAGGTATCTTATTATTGCAAGTTAGGATTGCACGCCATGGAAGGGCTCATTGTTTTCATATGGTATTATGTGCTTTCTTCCTTAGTATCTCCCACCACAATTTTTGTGTGTAGCAGAGATGAGGATGTTGCGTTGGATGTGTGGTAAGACTAGACAAAATATGATTAGAAATGAAAATAAAAGAGTGTAGGGGTATCACCTATTATAGAGAAGATGGTGGAAAATAGACTTAGGTGGTTTTGGTATATAGAGAGAAGACATGTAGATTCTGTGGTAAGGAGAGTAGATAAGATGGAGAGAAGTCAAACAACTAAAGGAAGTGGAAGACCTAGAAAGATTATAAGAGAAGTTATTAAGAAAGATCTTGAGATTAACAAGCGTGGTCCTGGATAGAATTTTATAGTGAAAGTTGATCCATGTAACCGACCCCATTTAGTGAGATAAGGCTTGGTTGTTGTTCTTGTTGGTTGTTATTAATAATACACTGACTCTGTCTGTACTCCGTAGGGTCCATCTTTAGGCATATATCCAGCAAAGTTAATTTTCTGTTTTTGTAACTTCTGAGAATTGTATGATACTAACTCTGGTTCCATATAGAAGACGAAAAGAATCATCAAGACCAATGCTATAACCCTTGCATTAAATGTTTTCACAGCCACTTTTATGGGGGAATAGATGCGTTTGTGGTAAATATTGAAATGGCATCCAAGTAATTTTAGCAGTTTGTACATTTAAAATTTGTGACTTAATTTTATAATTTGGACTAAGAAAACACCAAAATTTCTTATATATGGAACCAGAAAGAGAGAGAGTGAGAGTGTTTCATCTTTGACTGATGACACTGTTACATATTAAAGGATATGTCAAGATGATGGCTGTGAAGTAATTTTTTTTTTTTTTTGATTTTTATCTTGTGACAAACTTTAGAGTGACTCATAATTTGTTTTCAGGTTTGCAGCAGCATCACAATTTTTCCTACAAGTGTATAATGGTGTATTTCCATACCTTCAGGTATACCTTATCAACCGAACAAGACATCATGAAAATAGGATGGGAATCAGCAGGGGTGTATGGTAGCTCTTGAAATGTTTTAATAGGATGAAGTCTAGTAACGGTCTGATGGTTTGTACTTGGAAAAATATATTTTTTAATGGAAATGGTATTTGGTAGAGGCGGGCAGATAAAAGATATATTAATGTTAATTAACAAATATTTCCTTTTATGTTCCTTAATGAATTTTCTGATGACCATAATACCCGTTAAGTGCTCCCCTTGTTTTAGTTGATGCCTAATTAGACTCCTCTAAAACATGGGGAGCACTTAATGGGGAACTATGATTAGTTGCAACTGTTGATTGAAAAATTAACTTATGAGACTGATGAAGTAATGCACTATTTATGTGTAACAAAAAATAATGTCAAAATTACCTCGCATGATTTTCTAATTGTATGGCTATGACTCCATACTTTCTCCTATGAAATGCACCCTCGCTCTAGTGGAAACAGATGTATTGTTTTCTAGTGTTTGATAATCTTGTGCTAACAATTAAAAGTTTTAGTTTGACTGAAGGAGTTGGTTTGACCTGATAGATTGGGAACTAGTCACCTTGCAGGCCTGATTGAGGTATAAAAGCCTGTTGTAAAAAAGAAAAAAGCAATAACCTTGTATTGCCACTCAACCTGACTGGCTTGTCTAGTCCAAAAATATTTTTAGTGGCAATTTTTTATAAAAGTAATGTGAGATGTTTATGTGTAATTTGTTACCCAATGGCCCACAATCAGCAAGAGGGAAGGAAATACATGCATTTTAAGGCCCCCTCTTTACTTCAAATAACTACTATATAGTGGATTTTTTGGTCCTTTGATGATGGTCTTCAACATGATGTATACTACCACGCGTGGAATACATAACTATATAATGTGTCCTATTATGTTTATCATGGAAATATAGTGAAATGGAAAAAAAAAATCCTTTGTATTGTGAAGTAGCTGAAACTTGAAACAAATTTTTAGCAAGTGCTTTCTCTTCTCTTTTCATCAATAAATACTGAATTAACTCTGGTTTAAATTTTGTAGGAAGCTGTTGATGACAATTATGGAGGGAGTTTGTTTATAACCCCATAGTAGCACTCAGACAGTCACAGTCTTACTTCAACTATGTGATATTGGTAAAAAGATCTCTGGTTTCTATGTGAGCCTATGTGGCCACCTCACAAACCAACAGATCTATCGACCATGATGTCTTGCAATGTATGTTTTACTTTAATGTGATGTGATGGCTAAACATTTTCTGCTGTGTATGTGCTTATTTAATGGATGTTGTATTTAAGTAGTAAGCAATGAACATTATTCATCATTTTTATTATTGCGCCATTTTATGTTGCATTTTACTTTATGCTCAAATATATGAATCTTAATCTACTATTCATTTTCAAGACCCTTTCTGTATCACTTCCTGTTAGCTTTTCTACATTGATTTGATATGAATCTGTTTCTATTTATACATTGCAGAACAACCTGATGATTTGAAAATTAGAGAGAAAAGATAAGATAAAACAGGTTAGTATTTTTGGAAAATTTAAGTATCTTGTGATGATTAAGGTTTGCCAGCCCATTCACGAGTTGCAATTTGGTTTTTGGGATGTCTTTTAGTTGGCGTCAAGGCTAAAGTTGTAGGTTCTAATATGTTGTGTACCCCCCTCCCAACACAACATTCTTGCAGGAAGCAAGAACACCCTATTTTTTTTAATATTGTAACAAACAAATGAAAATTCATAAAAGTTAAATAGCTTTCAAAAAAATCTGTAACAAACATTATGTTTGAACAATCCTCACATTAGAAGCCTTAATGCCTTATAGCTATAGGCAATGCCTAGGTCATATCTCTTATCATCGTAGTACTCTCGACACCTTCCTTTTGTTCATGACTGAACATATGAAGTGTGTACTAATATAGAAAGCTTGTCAGCATGATCAATAAGTTTTCCATGTTTCCATACTTTGGAAGTATCTTAAAATTTATGGGTGAATAGATAAATATTTATCTGACATGGAGTAGTTGGCATCCATAATAAATGAATATGTTTAAGAACTTATATTGCTTCTGGTTTGATGTTCTATTCTTTTTTTGAGTTACTACAATTGATATTGGACTATATTTATTCTATAACTATGAATAGCATTTGTCATCTATAACCTTAAGCAATTTATGACCTATATTATTTTAATTTTCCATTTCTTTTAAGCAATTTATGACCTGTATTATTTTAATTTTCCAGTTCTTTGTAATGTGACGGCCTCTGCCAGAATTATACTAATTACAGTTACATGACAGAATCTGAACATGTGTATTGCCTTCATTTTCATACACAACAGGGTTGAGATTGATGCGATAACACTTGCTTAGTTATTGAATCAGACATCAATATTGTAGTTACAGCTGGGAAGAGGGCAGATTTGGTCTTGGAGAATCATAATAAGCTGCTTGTATAATTCAGTGCTGCTTTGCTGCAAAAAAAAAGATGATTTCTCAGCATGATATGATGAGTAGCAACTTTGGTTGGTAATATTAAGCTTGGCAACGGGCAACAAGATGGAGATGGAGATGGAAATGCTGATACCCGGCCTGGGGATTTTGTGAAACTGCCTACCATGTCCTTGCAGCATGACTGCATGAGTCCAATACCAAGAGATTAATTTTATGTATGTAGCACCATTAATTTATAACAGATATGGGTTATTTTTGGACATGGACATGGTTTGTCACAGTGGATGGGTGAGGACCAGAACTGATCTGCTAATTGAGTCATATGGCGACCATATAGTGTTTTTCAGTCACAATAGAGCTTACTTGCTAGCACCGGGTCGCAGACTCCGAGGAGTAACTTTTTGCCACTGCTTATTGTAATTTGCAACAATCAGGTTGGAGGCATTGAATAGAAATTTGACCCAATAGTTTTTTTTCTTCTCTCTAAATAGAATATTATTAAATTTGGCTTGGTCTTATAGTCAATTTATTGGTTGTTGATGACAATTTGGCTTGTTGTTGTAACTGATTTAGGAATTTGTATAACTTTGGAATAAGGATCATGGAAAGTCAATTATTTATGGTAATGGAATCATTAAGCATCTTTCTTCATTTTGTTTCCTTGTTTTTTTTGGTGTACATCATGAATAATGCATTTACATGTTTATCTTACCGGAATGAATTTCAGGTTGAGAGGAAAACTATAAATTTAAAAATCAAACTGGTCTAAATTGAGGCAATTTGTTCTTTTCGAAAACTAATTTCATTATGTTTCAGCTAGGATAACTCGCTTTTAAATATTTTAGACTGATCTAACAATTCAGTCAAATTAAACTCCCAATTAATATTCTTAATTTAATACTCTGTTTCAAAATCGTTTAAGACCTTTGCATATAAATTAAGAAAAATAGTTTGATTGTCATAAGATATTACTTTTTTATTAAATTAATTTTAAAAATGTGTTGGAAGAAGTCTAGAAAATAATAATTAAATTATACAGCTGAATATCGAAAAATGAGAGTGATATTCATTATATAATGTTCAACTGATTGTATAATTTGTCCAGCACTTGTACGATTCGGTTTGAATGGAGACCCGCTAACAAGTGCCTCCTAGTGTATGTTTGTATTTATTTCTTGAGCAACAAAAGCATTTTTAGCAGGCGTAAATTTGAGGACTCTAGAAGAAGTATTTTTTTAATTTAAAAACTTTTAGTGTCCAGAACAATTTTCAACCTTAAAAATATAAAAAATAATAATCATCCATTTTTATTCATATATAGAATGTGAAAATGTTAATATATTGACAGCAGCTTATACAGTTGAGTAGTTGACAAGAGCAAGGTTTTACTAAATCATTAACGAATCCAATGATGAAACCTTTCAAGTTATAATATCAGTTGTAAGCGTAATTACATCAAGTTACCAAGTTGGCAACCTTTTTGTTAGATATAATACTCGTGTGTGGAAGCGACAGATTAATTGACCAATGTATTTGCACAGGAAACACACTTAGGTGGGAAAATAGGAGGAGGATATTGTGAAAGTGAGAATTTGGTTGGTAACTAAGATTTTAATAATGGTAGTAAGAAAATAAGTCAAATTGCAAAGCCACGTGCATTCACCAACTACAAAGCAAACAGAGTAAATTGACTTATTCCTAATATTTTATTAGTGTACAAGCCATAAATCCTTCAACAGTCAATCAACCGTACTCTTTTTTCTCGTATAAAAATAAATATAACATTTTGCCGTGTAGGAATTCAAAACTCAAATGCATTGCTTATGGATCGTTCAAACTTAATAACCTTCCAACCACGCAACAAGAAATGAATCAAGTCAATAAACAACAAAACAATTCATTCATTTTCCACACACATTACAACAAAACAATTCATTCATTTTCCACACACATTACTATATTATCATTATATATAGAACAATACTACTCATCTTGTTTAACACAACAACACCATTCCATTATATTATATAATATATACTGTGTACGTTTTCGTACATCTTGCAGTTCCAAAATGAAGCTTGCCCTTTTCTTCCTGATATTTATCTTCCTCTTGCTCTCACACTCCATACAAGTTCAAGGGATGAGACCTCTCAAAGATCAATCAGCTCCTTCCATCCTAACTTTAATAATCAACAGAGCTTATTCTGGGCCAAGCCACAAAGGACGCGGTCACTGAACGGCTATATCAGCATTTTTTTGTATGTTTTCTTGTTTATACACACTAAGAATTCATGTCTTTTTTATTCTAGAAAGCCAATGCTTCAAGTGTATGTGACTCTCAATTTTACTATCTGGTTGAATTAATGTAACCTGAAATCAATACATAACATACTGTAATTTTATTTTTAATTAATATGTACATTATCTATTTTAACAAAATATTGTTACTCTTCATTCATTAAAATGCAGAAAGATAAAAACTGCTATTTTAATGAAACACTATTTTCATTCTATCGAATCAACCTTTTTGCCATGTTTTTTATTTTTATATTTTGCATACTGCATAGCGTTAGAGACTTTTCTTACAGTATAATTCATGATAACTTGTGTATGAGCACAAACCATTTTATTATTAGTTAATTGCACTACATATTATTACTCCTTTTTTTTCCTTCAACTTTAGCACTTATTATAAAATGTAATTAATTTTATATGAACAAAATATTATAAAATTATTATTTATTAATGATAACGAAAAGAAGATTGTAAGAAGAAAAGTGTATAATAAAATAGAATTAATAACTCATTAGTATTGAAAATGTTTTATTACTTAATATTTTTCTATTTTAAATTATATGATTTTTGGACTATTTTACACAAATTAAATTAATTTTGTATGAAAATAAATTGTGAGACGTTTTACAAAATTATTTTTTATTAATGATATTAAAAAAATTTATAATTCAAAAGACGAGATAGTAATAAATAATACAAAATATGTTAAAAAATAATTTTGATATATATTTTTGTTTTGTAAAATAATTCATAATGTGAGTGTAGCAATATATTTATGAGAACTCCAAATAAAAGCAATCCATGGAGCGCCGGCCTACGAGACATCATCTCGGCATGATCTTTGTGTGTCATGAGAGATTCGTCTTAGGAAAGACGTGTACAATACCGTTATTCAAACACTAACCACCTTGGCAAAATCACATCACAAGTCCACAACTTCCTAGAAAGTCTGTCAGTCTTAGGAAAGCGATTATCATTTCTTAGATTCTTTAAAAGTTGGGGTTTGAAAGGAAAGTTTTAAAGGGTTACGACTATTCTTTAAAATGTGTTTGCTATTTTTATTAACTTTAAAAAACAATATAATACATTGACATATAAAATCATATAATTTAAGATTTTCTAAGGTCCTAGGGGAAATGAGAGAGAGAGAGAAAGAGAGAGATCATTACACCTTGAGCATAACACTTATACACATAACCTCTCACCTCACGTGAATTGTCCCTCTCATACCACCGTAAACATTACCAAACAAGGCGAGATACATATAAAGAATTATAGAAATCTCAAAAAATATTGATTAGTGTAACTAGTTCTTCTAATACAAGTTAATTTGTCATATTAT